ATAAGTCAAAATTGGTAATCATAATATTTCACTCTTTTGAATAAAACTCGCTATAAGTCTTGTATAGTGAAAATCTTCATTATGGACTTTACTGAAAAAATCATATCCTAGAATAACTATATCATGTATATTGACAGGAGTCAGTAGAATCAGATTGAATGTATTTTGCCCTTGAAAAAAAATTATTTAACCTATTATTTGATGATAAAATAGATTTTTTTTTCCTATTAATATGTATATGGCTTAAGAGTTTGCTAAAGAAATACCTATATAGTTAAGTAAATATTACCTTCAAAGTGACCCTTTTAAATCTCTAATTCACAATTAAGGAATAAGACAACCTAGTACTAGAAGTACATCCCTAACAGTTTGCTACTAAGTATAGACTACTTATAATAGCTATACCTGTAGTCACAGACTCATTAGACTATCAGGTACTATCACTTTTAGATAAAAGATTTACTTTAACTATAGAGCTTGTCACATTCTGTTTTTATCAATCTAATTTATAGAATTTGACCCTATTGATGATTACTGAGATTATAGGATTAGGTCCTTTACATAGATGGTGATTTTGTACCCATAATGTCAAATATATCTGAGAATTGAACTTAGCTTCTTCCTCTAGTGATAGTTTAATTAAATAATACTGCAACGTGCAATATAGTCCATTATCACTATAGCTTACCTAAAAATATTATCTAATTTACTAATTACTGGTTAACCACTTTCTTACTTGTGTAAGGACCCTTGAATTTGAAGACGTGAGATAGTATCCATTACAAATTTATTAACGAAGGTTAAGTTTCTATTAATCCCTAGCTTTATTTATATCTACTTGTTCTTTAAATCCAGTATTTAGGCATGATCAACATTAATTGACAGATCGATCAATCAGTTTCTAACACATATTAGTATATTGTCTACTTATTTAATTATATACAAAATTTTTATAAAAATCATCTAGTTTTATACTTTAGCTAAGACCTAAACCTGTAGCTATTATAGTGTAATCTATAATAGGAGCTCAGTTGTTACTAACTGAACTAGACGTTAATTCTTTATTTGATAATAAAATAAATGCAAAAAGATATAGATAAAGGTTATTTGATGTTAACTAAATAATAGCTTATTATAGAATTTTATTATAAATCAAAGTTTTAGAATCATTAATAAGATGATTATTCTCATTTAGTTCTAAAAAACCTTCTAATATTTCAGAATATAATGCATGAGTCTTGATTAAGATTGCTTGTTTAAATTCATTTTGGATTTGACAAAATGTCTAAATTATAGTTTTACTAATTTTTTACTAAGATTTTGATATAGTTTCACATTTTTATAAGCTTTAATATAATTTTACTTTTTTCAGAATTTCACAAATTTTTTAATAAGGTTTTAATATAATTTTGCTAAATTTTACCTTTTTCTATTTAGACAACTTGCAAAACTTCTAGGTTACGTTTAGTAACCTTAGTTCTGATATTGCGTGAATAGTTAATAGTAAAGTTAGTCATTGTAATTAAAAAAAATAGCGCAATTAAGTTACAACTTGAGTTGCAACTTGTGACGCAATTAAATTTCCTTATGGCACAATTAAATTGCAATTTAATTGAAATTTGAAAATAATTATAGGGATTATCTTTAGTTGATAGTTTTAGTGAGATTTCTATATTTAGAATAAGAGTTATTATTTAGTATTCTTCTTAGAGAGTAGTGAAGGTAAATAGATGATAGGTGATTTTTTTAAGGAGATAAATAAGAAAAGAAGAATCTTGTAGAAGGTTTCTTATATGATTTGTATGTAAAAATCCTTAATTCAGAAATATAGTTGGTATTTGGATTAAAAGATAAGGAAATGTTAGGTATATGTTATTATAAAGAATAAATAAATAATGGATCATAAAATATCCAAGATATTTTTTTAGGATATAAAAGTTTTTTACAATATACGTAAGAGATTCGTGAATATTAAACTAAGATATTATTTTGAAATCTATGATATAATCTCAAAAATTTTGATGAAGGTCTCTAATGTGATATATTAGATGCATAGGATGATGATATTTGAAGATTAACAGATGTATTTATTAATGATTCAGTATTAGAATTATTATTAGGTATATCTAATATATCTACTAAAGTTTTATAATTATTATCAAATATATGTATATTATGAAATTAATGAATCATTTTTTATTAGTATTGCTTTTTTTGATTTTAGATTTATTTTGAAAATTTTTTTTTGCACTTTGAATATTTAAATGATATCTTTATAAATTTTTTTTCTTATTATAAATTTATTATTTTATCAGATAAAAAAAAGATGACAATATAATATATTTTTTGTTTATTTGTTTTATTTGAATTATTTATTTTATTTATTATAACATTTATAAGAAAAAAACAATAGCTATTATATTTTTTATTGTATTTTATTTCATCGTATAATATATAAATACTAAATATGCTAAATAAATATATGCATTTAATAAAATATATATATTATCAAATAATGTTTACATAACGTTTTATCTAATTAAAATTGAAATTATGTGAAACATTTTTTTAAACCTTTATATTTTCAAGAATTTCAGGGTCAAAATCTACAAAAAGAAAAGAATGTTAGCATACATTTCTATAGATGAATGATTAATCTGCACTCTTTTACACTCTCTCACACTACTAAAACAACCTTCTAAGAAGGTTAGGGTCAAAATCTGCAAAAAGAAAAAGAAAAGAGCGTGTTCTAATGGGTACAATAAATGCTTAATTTAATTTTTATTTTTTAAAGAATGTGGTAGTAAAGATTTGTAAAAAAATTGTGAAAATATTTTTGTTTTTAGAGATTGTGGTGTAAGAAAAAATAAAAAAATAAAGTTTTTTTTTTTATAATAAATCAATTTTTTTTATTTGTATACTAAAAAAAAAATAATTTAAAATTCAAATTTTTTTTTTTATATAAATTCAAAAAAAAAAAAAAGATTTTTAAATAAGTTCACTATTTAATTTTTTGTTGAATAAATAAAAAAAACTAAAATTTTAAAATAACTAAAAAATAAAATTCAAAATTTTAATCAAATAAATTTAGGAATATAAGGATAAAAAAAAATATCTATTCTTCTTATGAAGCATTATCATCAATTGCAGATTCAATAGCAGTGATAGTTGTAGAGATCATATCGGTAACTATTGATGGGATAGGATTTGCTTCTAAAGCCCTGAAGACATACCTATTTTTAATCCTATTCATTTGACTTAAAGTTTTTTGACCTCTTTTCAAAGCAGCATCTCAGGGGTATAGTTTATTCGATTATTACTTGACAATGATGGATTAAGCTACAGTACATTTAAAGTTTTTGACCATTATTGTTATTTTGATTAATGAAAATCAACGAAATGTCTTCAAGCTTAAGCGAGTGCTTTTCAGTGATCGTTTCATCTTGAGTGGTTTCATCAATTGTAGGTAGAATATAGGTAATTGTACTTACTAACATAGCAGTCATCAATCTCATAGTTTAATTTATAGAATTAGTCTTATTCGCAAGATACTTAAGGTTGGGATCATGAAATATATCAATCCAAAATTCGCGCGGTTCTCTTCACTCAAATTCTCAACATAAAAATCGAGATGTGATTTCCCATTTATATTTTTTATAGTTTTAGTTGTGTACCCTAATATCATTACGTTTAATCCGATAGATGGCATAATGTCGTAATGTAAATTCTGCATAACTTTTATCGATGTAGCATTTACCTAGGTTATTTACTTTATAAATAAAACAAATTATTAATTTAATTAACAAAATTGAGATAAATAACGCGAGATAAAATTAATCACATACAGAATAATATCCAGAACACGCAACAAATTTCACTTTCAAAGAAACTACATCACTAGTATTAAAATCTTCAATTTGAGATTCAATATTTTGATCCGATGGAATGAATGCCTTAACTTTTAAATATATAACTTTCGTTGGATCATTATCATCAGTTCTAGACAATGCTGTAATCTCTTTAATGGTAAATTCTTGGGTTAGTCGTTCTGTATATTCATGGATATAGCAAATCGTAAAAATCTTTGCTGGCATTATTTTAATTTTAAATTTTTTTTTTTGATAAAGAATAATTTATTGATAAAAAAATGTTTTTTTTTTTTGCTTTTTATTTTTTTTGTTAAAGAAAAAATTTTTTTTTATTTTTCAAAAACTTTTCATTATTTTTATCTAATAAAAAAAAAATTAACATAAGCAAAATACAAAAAAAAAAAGGGAGCCCGCTAATTTTTGTCAGCATATTTCCGAATTCAATGGATCATTTCTATTGTTATAAAGTAAAAACATGTATAGAGACCTCGAGAAATATTACCATTTAAATGCTGGTTAAGATGAGTTAACGTTCGTAATCCGCCATCATCCCGAAAGGCACTTCGATACTAACATTATTTGGTTAAAATAATTTATTTTTCATGTGTCGTTAATTAATAAAAAATAATATTTTGCTTTTGTATTGTTAAAAAAAAAAACCAAAACATTTTTTATTACATAATCCGAAAATAAATTATATATATAACCTAAATACGAAAGGTGGGGGTCATTCCGAATCTAATATCTACTCGCAATCAACGAGCATACCTAATCGATTAGGATTAAGATTAGGATTAAGATTAAGAATACTCTATATTAAATCCGCGGTCAAAATTGCGCAGATCGATTTAACCAAAAAAGAGTATCGTGGGTTGATCTTAAAACGAGAACTTTATGGGGATTATTAATATTTTTATTTAAAAAAATTATTTCATGAGACTCGTATTACTGTGTACATAGACCCGAATAGGAAAATGTAAGGTCTGTTTTCTTCTCTACGATAATAACAGTCATTATATTTAGAACCTGTAAAAATTTCTTTAATATACTAATATTCTGCGCGAATTGGATTACTGTATAAGGTCATAATTCAATAATTGACGGAAAAATTTATTTACAAATTTGTGAATTTCAATATATTTTACTTCCCGAATCCACTACAACCTTAATATTATCTTGATTTGATGAACTATTAACAGTTTGTTCCTCGTTATCCAATTCTTCAATATTTCTTTGATCAAATTTATGTTCTAATTGTTCGTAACCTCCACAATAATAAACAATTTTAGCAATTATCCAAGTGAAAACAAATAGACCAATTATCAAATAACCTATGGTACCAAAATGTTCTCCAAGAGCTGTAAAGAAATCCCAAAATGGTCCGTGAAGATCCAATTTATCCCCTATAATATTTAAAAGTTCTATTATACCAATAACGAAAGCCACTAAAACAGAGAGCAATGTAATAATAAAATTATAATATAACTTTCGAACTGGATTTAGATAAGCCCATGTATAAGTCCCTAGCATTAATATACCATCAATTGTATCAATTAAAGCCATTCCGGATGTAAAAAGTAATGGAAAGAACATAATTAACCAAATAGGAAGTCCTTGATTCGCCTGAAACGCGGAGATCCCCAAAAGTCCTACTTCAGTAGAGGTATCGAAACCAAATCCAAAAAGTACACCAAGTGGATACATTTTCCAACTGGCATCAATGAATTTAAAAACTGGTCCAAAAAATCTTCCAACGAGTCCGGAATTATTTAAAATATCTTCCATACTTTCCTCTTCAAATGCCCCAGTACGCTTTAATTTTTTAAGTGAGCGTAATATAGAAACAAGTAAAAAACAATTTACAATTCCAATAATAAATAGAAAAGCTGCTGAAACACTTGTTCCAATTAGACCTCCTATCGCTTCTAAATCACCGAATTTTTCTTTTACAACAGTTGCAGTCACGGCAATAGCGATAGATGCAATTATGACAATAGTAGAATGACCCAAAGAAAAGAAGAGTCCAACTGATACAGAATGCTGACCAGACTGTAAAAGTTTTCTGGTAACATTATCAATGGCTGCTAAATGGTCTGCGTCTACAGCATGTCGAAGCCCTAAAGTATATGCTAACGCAGCTGTTCCCAATAAAGCAGGAAAATTACGAAAAGCAATTGCAGTTGCTACCCAAATACCTATATTAATAAGGACTAACCCTGAGAGGATTACAATTATCTTTCTTTTAATTACTTTAACATTGGGTTTATGTATCAGTGGTGTTTGCAGAGTTGCTAGAGTTCTTGTTTGAATGTTAGGCATATCTGAAGATTCGATTACGTCGATGTCTTCTTCATGAGACTCCATTTTTTATTTCATCAACCATTGTAAAAACTGCGACGTATAAATGCATTTTAACGTGAGAAAATAAATTTTTAAAAAAAAAAAAAATGAATGAGATCGTAGATCTGGCAAAAAAAATTTCGGGGAACAATCTTTTTTCGTTCATATACATCTCATTTTATGCAGTGTAATGACGAATCAGGAAATAAATTTTTCAGGGGTGATGTTGAGCGCAGTTTTTCTAATTATAAAGAATTTTAGCAGATCACTTGAGAAAGTTCTATTGATTTTTGCATCGCACGAATCACATAGTAAATTAGAACATTAGAACACCAACTAACAGTTATATTGCTAAATTTGGTTTAAACTTCTATTAATTTTATAAAAAATACAAATTTTTTAGATATTAAAAATCTTAATATTAATAAAAATACATTCTAATATTGTTAAATTAAATAACTTTCTCATTGGGAGCTTTTCTATATGAAATTCCTTAGCCGCAGCACGACGGTCGATTCGGCCCGAAACTATGAGTTAAATCGTTTAGCTAAAATTAATAAAGTTTATAATCTTTCTTTGGTAATAGAAGTAGATTAAGCATTTTATATAAATAAGATAAAGAATTTGAATATATACACTACCCTCGGAGAAGTTTCCGGTAAGCCATAAGGCCTAAACGATCTTATCGTTATCCTAAAAAAAAAAGCAAATTCATTTGAGAATCATTTCATGGTAAGAATAATCAGACAAAAATTAAACTAAGATGGCGGATGCAGGAAAATTCCAGTAGTAAACTTTAGTTAAGGCAAAGATTGATATCGAGTACCGGT